TGGTCTTTACTGCCATATTGAACACGAACGCCGATCGCCGGAAGCCCGTGTTCGGCGTTCAAGGTTTCGGAGTTCGGCGTTCGGCAGATTGGCGGTCGCCTTCGAACTGTTTATGAGAGGAAGAAAGAAACACAAGACGTTCCCTCCATCACACAAAGAAGTACAGAGTTTGACGTAAATTAATATAAAATAGCAAAAAAAACAAAAAAAAAACCTCCACATAACCACAAACTTGAATGAACAACGCGGAAACACATTCTTTTATATCTATTTCATCCGTAGGAGGGTAATGAATCAAGAATATTTTGGTATTGCGCCCAAACGGTGATTATTGGCGCTCACTGTACACGCAGTGGGGTCGATTACTAGCCGTGAAAGCTCACCGCAGCTCGGAGCACGTAGCGCGAAAGCGATACAGAACCTCGAGATGCTGAAGTGATCTGGTGACGCGCAATGCGTCAGCGGTGGGAGCCATCATAGCTCCAGGCGGAGGTGTCAGAAACGGAAGTGGCCAAAGAGACGACTGACTAGATCTAGGATCGATGATGTCCCTTTACGAATATAACCTCAAATTTAGTATAATTCAGTCCGGTACTTTGGATCGAATGGGATTAGCATTCCCTTGGCATTGCATACGAGATTCTGCGTGCAGCACTACATCATATGGGTTCACTGACACACGGTAGTGCAAACCAATATACGGACAATGCATGTTGTCGCACAATATAGTGTCAACTTCCGCACATGGCACAAGCGAGGCAGTATGTAGTTTCGTCTTATCATTTCATAATACAAATACCCACCCATCCAGCCATCCAGGGCATGACCGAAAGCAGGGAGCTCAGGCTCATACAGCCTTCTGTTCATTTTAACGTCAAACGAAGTACGGTGGTGAAACAAGTCACATCATTTAACAGCAGACTAAATCCACGCTGTTTCTATGCGGAGCACAAATTCGTCTGCGTCTTTGCAGGAGCGTGGTGACGTCCGAACGCCGAGTTCTTATTGTCTGACTGAAAGAAGAAATTAAAGTGCGCAGACCACAAGACATCTGTCATCGAGTTCTACCATACATACTCTCCTGCCAATCAGGGCCTATCAGGGCTCGGCGTCGTTCCGAGGACACCGCAGCTCCAGCGGAAGAAACAGATGCCTTACTCTCCTCCGCAAATTAGAGGCTCTGCTATAGTCCGACGTAACGCGTGCGCGCGTGCGAGCGCGTCACAGCGACATCACGTCAGCGAAAACCCGACGCTCTATACTCCGGCGTCGTGGCGTAACCGACGCGACCGGCGGCGTTCGACGCTGCCTGACCCCCTCGACGCCAAAATGGAGCATGCCGTATTCCGCGCCGGCCACGCCATTGACGCCGGAGCAGGATGCATCACGCGCTGGCTCCCGGCAGCCCTCGCGCGGGAAGCGCGGCGAATACGAGCAATAGCAGACGGCAGGAGTACCACTCTGTGTGGCGTTATGTTTGAAGAATCGGACTCGGTCGGTCGAGAAGCTCATCGAGGGAATTCGTCCTCACCTGTGTGTCTACGACACGAGGAAGCTTGAGTACCGTAGACCGTGCGCTTGTCAAAGCTGTACCGTATGTACATTGACCGCCTATGCTTGCGGCGCAGGTGGTGCACCAACAGTGCAAGCGCGAGTTTTCGTCGTGCAAGGTACGTCCACGCCATCGCTCGAACTTGGCGTTCAAGAAGCGCGAGCATTTTCGTCTGCTATTTGAAACGAAAAGGAACCGGAAGTGGCGCACTCTCGCAGGAAACGTGCCCTCGTAGTCAGACTCTGCGCATGCGCCACGCCGGCGGCCCACCGACGCATAGCCGCGGGAGTCACGAATTTTTGACGCGCGCGGCGTGACTGACGTGACGTAGCCGTCTTCGGCCAGCGTTCGCCCGCGCGCGTTACGTCGCAGTATAACAGAGCCTTAACACGACCTAATTTTGTGGTTGTGATACATTAGCAATTAGAGAAATTGTCGCGAAACAGTGCAACTGCAAGAGGCATGGAGGCGTCTGAGATATGACACTGACGATGACCTCGGTGTCACATAGAAAACAATATTGTATGGCCGAAATGCATCTTTACCTCCTAGTTCTCAAGCTGCCTCTTTATGTGCAGTGACTGACTACGTACAATTACAAAGCAACATATAGCAGCAAGTTTTTATCGTCGTGTTCATTTGTTTCTGGAAGGCGCAATTTCAATCAGTGCCGTCTTTGTAACGTTTGAATGCTAACATACCTCGTTGGAATGTAGCACAAAAACTGCTTCAGCGAATGCAGTTCCTCTGTATGGCCCAAAAACTATTTTCGTTTCTGTGCCAACCGCGCTCGCCAAAACCAGTTTCGGAGCATGTCGCTGGCGTGGAGCCAACAATTGCCTGGTTCTATAATATGTTGATCATTTGTTACAATATCCGGTGGTGTATATATAAAAAAGAAAGAACAGTGCGGTACCGAAGTGAAGATCTATAATACGTGACACGAAACAACGATGGAAATGTTCCTTTAGTAAAGTTGAAGTCCTTTGGTTCTAGGATATCTAATATGTAAATTATTAGTTATTATTTGTAATTTGCAGGGACAATGAAGCAGGTTGTGCTGACATGCCTGACATGGTGTGTGCGCTTACGCACGGACGGACTCATGGACGGGGGTGGGACGGAAAGATTTATTGGTGAAGGGGTTTGTCATAAAAAAATTCCAACTTTCAGAACAAACGCGCAGCCGGGCGATGCGGAGAAGGGTAGATAATGGACGAAATTTAAGGGCAGGGCAGCTTTCTCAGATAGCGATAAGAATAGGGCAAGTGTAAAGCAAAAGCACCACCAGTCCCCTGCGTGTGTAACATGGTTTCGTCAAGCTTGCTCTTAAAAATATTTATAGAGAAAGTGTAGTTAACGTTCTTTTTTTTTTATTTGTCCCCCCTAGAAATGATGACATTAATACAAGATGCAGCAGCAGGGTGAACCAGCGTTTTTGAGAAAACTGTTTCAAGGCGCAAATCCACTCTACGCACTTTCGCTTTTTTTTTTTCCTCCATTTTTTTGCCAGATATTTCCATAAAAGCTCAAAACGATCGAACCGACGCTTTAAAATTTATGTATTGTAAAAGGCGAAGATTACAAGTTCCTTCAGAATACAGTTTTGACATCTGCGTGCTAGATATATATATATATTCTGCAGGTGTCAAAAACTTCGGCGAATACCGACTCCAGTGGGAACGGCAATAATTGTTATGTTTTTGTTCTTTAAAGAAAACTTTCTTTACTAGCAAAGTAAGCGACCGGTCTGGCGCCGTCTTCCTTGGCTGCCGTTCGTGTCCTCTAGGAGTCCGTTGTACCGTGCCCAGGCTTGGGCTCAGCCGTTGCGCCCAGAGAGCCTAGATTAAAGAAAGGGAAGCATCTGAAACCGCGGGGAGCGTTTGAAATTTAACGGTGGACACCCTGCAAAAAGTCTTCGCAAGTGCGCATGCGTCGCATTGTCGCGTGACGAGGAGGAAATCAGGCAGAAAGGCGGAGACACTTGCCGACTATCACCGCTTTCGGCATCTGGGCCCGTTTGCTCGAGGCGCGCGGTGGAGCGTTAACCACGGCTAAAGTTAGCCGCAGTACCTAAGAGGGGGATCTCTAAAAATGGATGACTAGCTCGGTAGGGATGCGGGGATAAGTAATGTGTCGTTGTAACTGCAATAACGGGCGCGTTAGTCAGCAACGAATGGTGCAGGAGGCTTTCGCATCGCCTTACCTCGCTTAAATCGCAAATCATGAGCAATGAACTCGCCCCATTTTTGAGATAGTATTTTGATTCTCGCCATTCCTAAGCCTAAATGAACGCGATAATTGTCGGCATGGCAACTTCTTTGGAGAGTGGATAGCCTTGACTTAATTGCCCGGGTATTGATACCACACAAAAGCAGACAGCTTCCCAATTGACGCCGTAAGTGACAATGTTATTAGATTAGCTCAGTTACGGAACACCTCATAGACGCTGCATGCACCAACACTACCCCCTTCCCCCCTCTCTCCCCCATACACACACACACACTCACCTCAACTCGCCTGGCGTCGCTCGACGCGCCGCCGGACGGCTGCTTTGGTTACTGCTGTGTATTCTATGGGGATCGGGATACGTACGTTTCGAAGCACGGCGACAAGATGGCGCTTCATCACTGCACTTTGGATCGCACAGTTATGAAACGAAAATTTAGATGGCGCTTCGAACGACGGCTCCCTATAAAAATGATTTTTTGACTTTATTGAAAACGTGTTGACTTCTTGTTGACTCTGATTACTTTCTTTTGACTTTGACTTTCTGTTGACATGGTCAACAAAAAGTTTTTTGACTTTGTGGTGAAACTTTTCTGATGATTTTCTTCAGCCTTAGTCAAAGGAAAAGCTGTTCGCCTTGCATTCACCTCTCCTGTGACATATCCAGTAGCACGTTGACTCGTTCTTTCTGCTGCATGTATACGAAAACCCGTCATAAAGGAGCATCCCTCCACCTCTCGCCGTAGCTATCACTTCCATTTCGAGAAGTGAAGCCAGAGACCCAAAAAGTCGTTCTTATATTATCCCACCATTCCATATTTGGGAAGCAACCCGGAAATATTACGTTTGTTTCACATCTTTCACCTCGACAAGCTTAGCTGACCTCCATAAGCTTAGCTAGCGACCACAGCCCGATGAGCTGACTGGTCCTTCGGGAGGTTGACCCAAATAGGGGACGAACTAGTAGTTACAGTATAACGGGTGCCCAATTGACGAATCGTCACAGCGGACGATTCGTCACAGCGGAAAGATGTGAAACAAACGTAATAGTTCCGGGTTGGTTCCCAAATATGGAATGCTGGGATAATATAAGAACGACTTTTTGGGTCTCTGGCTTCACTTCTCAAAATGGAAGTGATAGCTACGGAGAGAGGTGGAGCGATGCTCCTTCATGACGGGTTTTCGTATACATGCAGCAGAAAGAACGAGTCAACGTGCTACTGGATATGTCGCAGGAGAGGTGAATGCAAGGCGAAAATGACAACAGATCCAGATGCCAGTCGAATCATTGCCCTTCAAGCTGCCACACGCACGCGGGAGACCCAACGGAACTCAACCTGCTCAGGACGCGTCATCGGATAAAAGAAAAAGCAGGTTTGTGCCGAAACGTTTCTGCATTTAGTATAAAAAAATTAGGTTTCTTAACAATTTTTTTTTCGTCACAGTGGGGAGCCACGAAACTCCAGACCAAATTCTTTTAGACGCTGCATCTGCCGTCAGTGACGACACCGCTTCTCAGATGCCTGCCCCGTCGTCCCTGCGGCGAGTCTTACGGAAGCAAAGGCAGCTCGCGACATTCAGCTACAGTATTCCGTCCACCAGATGAGACATCAGAGTCCCCGTGGAGTTCAAGGTAATAACCTGGTGATCGATGGCGGTATGGATTTTCCTTAAGGCTTTTTGCATCTCATTGCAGGTGACAAGCAAAGGCGAGTCCTTTCTCCTGCATGATAGTGGAGATGGCGACTCTGCAAGAATCCTCATCTTCGCAACCGAGATGAACTTGCACCACTTGGCTCAGTCTACCGTGTTGCTAGTAGACGGGACCTTCAAGGTGACGCCACCTCTATTCTGCCAGCTTTATACAGTGCACGCTGTACTTCATAGAGTGGTAATGCCAATGACATACGGTCTGCTACCTAGCAAGTCAGAAGACACTTACAGAAGGTAATTACTCGTATTTTTGCAGCATCACCAGTGGTTTCGTTTCTCCTACAGCAGTTTTCCTGTCTAGAGTGAGTAAATGGTTGCGGTAGGAAATAATTACTTAAAATAATTTTGTGACGGAAACTTTTTTTTTATACTTTTGCTAAGTTTTTTGCTGCTCTTCTCAACGCCATGGGTCGCCACAGCATTAAAGTCGTGTACTCGGACTTTGAGATCGCGGCTATGAATGCCGTCCAAGATCTTATACCTAGCGCCAGGATTCAAGGGTGTCTTTTCCATCTGAGCCAGTCGGTGTACCGGAGGGTCTGCGCTTCCGGCCTGCAGAGTACATACAACACACAAGAGGACTTTGCAGTGCTGGTGAGTGACCTGAACTTCTATGAATATGATATGAGAGCTCTTTTATGTCAATCCCAATACAGGAATATTCTTCTTTTCATTCTTCAGATGAGGATGTTCCCATCGCTGGCATTTCTCCCGACCGCTGAAATCCCAGAAGCCTTTCAAGATTTATTGGAGGTAATCCCGGTGGAGGCAGTTCCAGTGGCGAACTATTTTGAGGACACCTACGTCGGCAGACCCCGACAAAATGGCCTGTGCTCCGCAGTCTTTCCGCCGGAGGTGTGGTCCGTCAGAGAGTCGACTTTGGAGGACATGCCAAGAACGAATAACAGCGTCGAGGCGTGGCACAGAGGTTTCCAGGTAAGTTTTCTAAGGTTGGGCAAGTGGGTGTTACGCACCAGCAATACGTATATGTGAGAATGGTTATTGCATAATAATGAGACTCGTCATGCGTACATAATGCTAATTACCACATTAACAAACGAGGACAGAAGCGAAAGCATGATGTGCTGTTTGCATCGGAATATGGGTTCTAAATTGTCTTTTTTAGGGTTATGCATACTGAAGTTGTTGTGTCGGGGGAAATTATATTGATAACCTTGTGTGTACCAGCTGGTTCAATTTTGTACTACCTTCATAACATTGGCGGCAAAATGGCAACATCACAAAGAATACAGCGAACAGGGAGACGAACCGGGCACACGTAGTGCTAAATTTAATGTGCCATTCCTCTCCTACGACCTAAAGTTTACACTTTTTAAATATATAACGTCGTTTTGATTTTTTTTCTCTTCAGAGAAACGTGGGCTGTACAGCGCCAAACCTCTGGTTCTTCTTGGACTGCCTGAAGAAGGAGCAGTGTCTGACCGAGATGAAGATTGCCCAGGCTCAAGGCGGGACGACATTAACAAGAGTCTCAAAAAAGCACGCGGACTGTAACAAGCGCATCAGATTTATCGTCGAAAACTACAGCAGCACCCGCCGCATGGAATGCCTGAGGGCGCTTGCGCAAAACCTTGCCTTTTGATTCTCTCCAATAAAATTGTTCTATCAAGTCTTCCGTTTCCTAACATGTATTTCGGAACACCTGATATAAGCAATTCATGCTCTAATGCACAACGAACTGAACAAACAATTTCGCCCGTCCTATGCAATTATAGATACGCTGGTCTTTGAGTTCAAATGTGTGTACTGCCAAACATACAATGAACAATAGCTTGATATTATTGTTACTGCAATTTTGCGAACATAGTCAGTTGGTTAAAATTACGGTTTAAAAACTAATACCATTCCCAGAACACTCGCTGTGAGTCTGTGACCAATCGTCTGGTGGACGAATCATCCTATGACGAATGTTTCGCTGTGTCGAGTGGTCCTGTTACCAGGTATCCTATGACGGATGTTCCGCTGTGACGAATGGTCCTGTGACCAATCGTCCTGTGACGAGTGCGCATGGGGCGAATCGTCCTCATCCCATTCAGGTGTTCAGTGCTTCATGGTGTTTGTGTTTGTGTTCGTTTCTAATGTGTGTTTGTGGGATAATGTAGTGGTACCTTCAAATACCTCACTATTTACTAACATTTACTGATTTGGTAACATACTAACAAAATATTAAAAAAATATCGTGTTTTTTTACGTCATTTCGCGGCAGCCATAAGTCGCAAGGGAGTCACAAGAAAAGCTGTGGGCTCTGGCGACACAGAGACTACAAATCGTCTGGTTCAATGAATCGCCTTGGAGTGACAAGGTTGTCTTATGCTAGAGGTTTAGCTTTTCAATGGAGCGTCAACAAAAAGTTGACACCTAGGCGCCAAGAAGTCTACTGCCTTTCTAGTGAACTTTGGGCCAAATGGCTCTTTGAAGTCAAGTGAAAAGCTAAATACAACCTGCAGGAAGTATGATGGAAAGCTGTTGACATTTAATACCTGTGTTAACTTTTTTCAGCAGACTTTCCACAAAAAAGAACTACACTTGTTTGTAAGGGGCAGGCGGATTGAAGTGAGTGAGGGGGAGGCAGGTGTACCCCTTGCGCGGGAGTTCCACTCCTTAGGTAATCAAGTAACGTTGGTAAGTGACTACGTCACAACATGGCGTTTGGGTTCAAACAAACCGTTGCTAGGGACGCTGCTATGGACTAATGCATGGAGGCTCCAGATGAGGCTAGATTTTTGCATAAAAGCAAGTAAATAATTTTTCGTGAGCAACCTAACTTCTAGATATCTAATTACTAAAATGATCTTTTCGTCTCAGCGTTGTATTGCAACGATGAAAGCCATTTGTGAAGTATTGCACTCCGCTTTGCTTTGGTAGCAGACGACACGATAGATTTGCTGGCCTCCGTTGCAGCGGGCGTCTTCATTGAATTGCGTCGGTAAACGAGCGACAAAAACAAGTGCATCGCCATGGCCGTAGAGGCCTCCGCAATGTGCTCTTTTTTTCTGTAAAGAACCCAGCTTAGTTCAGAAGGGTGAAAAGGCCATAAAATCAAACCACGTCATGCAGATCAGTTACGACGACGACTCGAAGTGGATTACCGGCGTAATGCAGGCCAGCATGAGAAACAAGTCGCACGTTGTCGAGGTAAGTAGTTTGTGATTATTATTATTGAGGTTGTCAGGTTATTAAGGAATTGCATGTCTATGGCGATTTCGCAGTATTTTGCTTTATTGGTATACATCAAATTCTGTGGATGAGCTCTTTTGGTGAAGATCTCCATCAAACCCGCGATGCGAGTAGAGTCTGTTATAAACTCACATTATGCTTTTTATCCAGTTCTTTCGCGCTTCTGGTTCTTGCGGAAATCAGACGAAACTGCAAGAATCTTTCTCCACGCGATGGTTACAACCAGGTACAAAGCACGCTCCCATAGCGCAAGTCTGCAAGCAAAATTTGGGATCCCAACCGATCGGTTGAAGTGCTTTTCTCACAAGTGCAATGCGATCTTTTGCAGACGATCATCTCGATAGACGTTCGGACTTCCGATAAACCGTATTTTGCATCGCACCCCACGATAAATTCCTAGAACTGTCCGAAACGCATTATATTTCAAACAAATACAATATCAGAATATCGTCTTTATTCACACTATTCAGACGCCGGCGCAGGCTTGGCCAGCTGCCGCCGTCCGTAAAACTATACTTCCAGCGTTCAATATTCAGTTCTTATATTCAGTTATTCCATGCTGGCCAACCATGCTGCCGGTGTACCGCCCGCCTTTCACTGCTCACTTCTTACTTTTCGTCTCTAGAACCGAACTTCGTCGTCCGCTTTCGAACTTGGAAGGAAATTTCAACAAGGCTTATCTTTAATTCAGACAGTCCGGCATTTAGAAATGTTCCAAACAAGGGTGAATTTGGTTTTACCTTACCCAAAATCTGTACTACGAGCAGCAAAAAAATATTTTCTGCTAAAGTGTATGCCGTCCTCCATCGGGAATACCCAGTGGCGCGCGCCGTTGGGTCCCCCCTTTTTGGGAACTTTTTGACAGAACCATTTATATTCGATACAACCAGAAGGTGATATCAAGCTACCACCCCATAATAAAATACGGAGCTATCGCTCATACAGCCTTCGTCAAACTTGGCTAGGTGTACTCGTTGGTACCTAGTAGGGAAGGGCGGTTCACTTTTAACCTCGGTTAAAGTTAACCGGCTTCGAGCAAACAGGCCCTGAAGAGAAACACCATTGCGGTCGCGAACGTCGAAACTGCATACACCACAGCCATTTTGTCAAATGAAGCGATGGGGCCGTGCGTGCCTGCCCGCATCCCTACCGAGCCAGTCAAGTGATTTCAAGATCCGTATCCTAAGTACAGCGGCTAATTTTAGCCGCGGTTAGCGCTTAACCGCGCTTCGAGCGAACGGGCCCTGCTCGCAGCTGGTATTGCAAGCGCAACCTATAAACCCCGTGACACCGATGCAACAGTTGGACACAGCAATACATGCTCTCTATAGTTGCGGGGAGGTGGCGCCATGTAGTAGCGGTTTCTGTAGTCGATACACTACGCTGCTCCCTACATTCTGATGCCGGAGTCCCACTAGAGCGACAAACAAAAGCAAACGACAGCGTGGTTTGTGCGGACGTCGCTTTATTCGGCTCTAACTGTATTTTGAGTTTTGTGTTAGTAAGCCAATTTTTCCAAGTGCCAATAAGCCAATTTTTCCAAGGGACGGAATGAAGCTCCGTTGGAAGTTTAGGTCGCAGCTAAAATGAGAGCGTAAAGGATCCCCTCATTAGCATCGCTTCTTTAACGTTTATGAAATGCGAGATAATTCTTGGAGATTTTTAAATACCACCGTAAGACGACCGGTTCCCTCTGAGATGTTGAATTGAATAGCACCACATGGGAGACTCGCTAAATTCCCCACTTTGTAAATTCTGCATACCATCATAGTCCCAGGAACTTTTACATCAGCAAACTCGGAGAATCTGCCGAAACGGAGCGACCGGAAGTATCTTGCGTGTAGCCGCAGACGGCTGCCGCTTCACATTACCATTTTCGTACGTTTTCTCACGTTACGAGTAAGTCAGAGAATCATTCGTGTCTTGAATGTCGCGTGCCAGGATATCTATTTAAACTGGTAGCCACGCTAAATATGAAGCTCAGATGTCCCGGCGATTTGAAGCCTAAGCTTTATAACGTACTATAAATTAACGTAAAGCAAAAAATAAAAAAAACGGAGTCGTGTGAACCGGCTTTTACGTCGGGTTACGTCGAGAGTCACTGAAAACTTATGTGCTTCGTATTATGCGTGGTAACCTGTTCAAAAAATGCACTTGCACACGACGTTCGCCTCATTGATGACCCGGTGACTTACACATAACGTAAGCAAACATCAAGAAAAAGCGCCTGCGTGTCAGAGCGCGGGTGAAATTACGAGCGGGTGGCCAATCAAGCAGCAGCAAATACGCAGTCTTTCCTTCCGTGCTAATCCGCCAGTTCATCCAATCAAACAAAGAAAGTAGGCCGTGACTCGGTGCTTCTTTTATGTGTGCATTCAAATGTGTGTCTGTTACAGCTCCTGAATATTTAGGAAACACTTTTCGAGGCTTAGTCTCGCGGATCTTACTATCTCTCCATAGCCAGTTACACTGCGGCATCAGCCGGTGAAAACCCCAAAGACGGAATCCCGATGCAAGAAATAGAAACTTCATGAGCTATGACGGGAGTTTCTTCATATTTTAATGACTATATAGGCTAGATGACCGAAACCCTTGGTGTGAAAGGTGTTACCAGAGGCAGGTCCGCAGGATACAAGGATCACTTACTGAAGAACCATGATATGAACTTGGAACTGGCATTAGAAGAAAAATTCTATTTTTCATTAACAATATGGATGCGATTCGAGCCTTTAGCGTTAGCTGGATAAGATAAACACATGTTTTAGCCTCTCTTATACCTGAACGGTGTCGGAGCTTGTGCTTATACATTATTGTTTCATAGGCCAAAACAAAAGTGAACTTTTCCTAGGAAGAGTGGCGGGCTCTTATGACGGTGTTAAATTCTCTGCAGGATATAGATGGCATTCAGTCCGTGTTGTTTGGGAGTGGCAGTGATCTCAGCGGAACCATGAAGCGGAGGTTTTGGTTAGGTTGCCGTGATGATGTAGTAGAGTGTCAGCTGTCCATGACCCTTGAATCGAGGTGCCCCACGCCAAAATATTTTGCTTTCGCATTGGTTGTGGTCTTAATGTTTCTGTAATGCAATTTCAAGATATTCCTGACCCTTAACGCTTCTCATTTTTCGTTTCGTACTGCCATTTAGCGAGCAGAAAAAATGAAGTGCGAAAATTGTTTTGCTTACGTCAGTTAGGAAGAGTAAGTGTTAATATTAAATGCTGAATAACCCAACCTAAACCACAAAGACAACTAGGCCATTTTATCTTGAAGCAGCCTTCAATTAAAACACAACAGCAAACGAATGACCCTCTAACGGGCAAGGAAAAGCTGCAAGGTAAAACAATCGGGTTAAGAGTTTCATCAAAAGAAACGGCAAGATAACTAAAATATATGA